CAATCCTGGGTGCCTCAGAATGTGTCCCACCATCCTATCTCTTCTTCTCGTAAGATTTTTCCTTCGCCTATCCTAAGACCAGCTCATTTCGTACTTTATCAGTCCACTTAATTTTCAACATTTCAAATGCTTCTACCCTCCTTCTTTCTGGCCTTCCCACTGACCATGTTTCTCTTCTGTATAGCGCCGTGCTCCAAACATATAACTTCAGAAAAATCTTTCTTAATTCCAGGTCAATGTTTGACCCTAGTAGACTTCTCTTCTCGAAGAAGGCTCTTTTTGCTTTTGCTAATCTGCTTTTAATGTCTTCCTTGCTTCGTCCATCTTTTGTGATTTTGCTTAATAAATAACAGAATTAACTTCACTGCTTCTACTGTGTCTTTCCCAATTTTGATAATTAATGGATCATTATTCTCATTTCTGCTGCTCCTTATAACTTTTGTCTTGCTTTTGTTTATCCTTAAGCCGAATTGCTCACTGAGTAATCTATTCATACCATTCAATAATTCCTCCACATCTTCCTTCCTGTCAAATGGCCACATAAATTCCTGATGTTATACTTGATGGCAAGAGAGTCTGCCCAACGAGCAGGGGGCTGAACCAGCGGATGCTTCCTGTGTCGTGGGTACCACGTCATGGTGGCGGTACTCCATCTCCCGTCATCTCGCCTCACGACGTGGCCTGCCCAGCGGTGTTTCCACTTTGCCACATGCCGTAATGGATCCTTAACGCTTGACATCCGTCTGATGTCAGCAAAGTGTAGATGACAGTCTCTCTGCTGGTGTAAGGTGACGCCGACAAGTCGACGCTCAAGGGATTCGTGGGCGACGTGAAATTGTCAGAGCGTGAAGAAAAATTGAATCCACTTCATCAATGAAAATTATGCTTGGTTTCTGCTTTCTTGCCAGTTCAAACAAGTTACTTATTAGTCTTGCAGATTCTCCATCCCATTTGGGTACAAGGTCTGAAGATGAGAGTGAGAAAAATTTGCAGTCCTTTGGCTCTGTTGCAACTGCCTTCGCCAAGTACGACTTTCCGGTTCCTGGGGACTGAAGAAAGATTAATGTGATAAAAGTTCGCCATGACAGACTGCACAAACTTTCTAGTATTTGTAAACTATACAAAGAACACCACCAGGTACTTTGCAATGTAAATACACCAGAATGTTTAGCAAAGCTAACAAACTATAATACCAAAAATATTGTATACCATACTGGAGAACATTTATGTTCCAATTGCATTCTTTGCTATTTTGCATACATAATTGGATGTAAAGTTCGTTTATTGTAGACTCATGTTTGTATCAAAATTTGTAGTAGATGGTCACATTTAAAGTCGTACCCAAAAAAATAATATTCCCTTCCAAGTTTTTCGTTCTCCAGTGAACACGTGTGGAAACTTTATTGGGAAAATGACACCCTGCTTCAAAACTTTCTTAGCTCCTTCCAGACCAGCCACATCTGACCACTCCCCAACCACTTGTGACCACTCCACCCCAGGGTTTTTAACAATGGTTTCTCTTAGTCGACTTAGTAACTCCATTTCATCGTCATTCCTGGAGAAAAAATCAATAAAGTTATAAGAGAGAAAGAACAATTTTTCTGTGACAAACAATTGTACAGAGGATCTTGTGTTCTGCTGACCAGGTTAGACTGGCTGTTCCAGAATCAAAATACCCGCACAACTGCATAACTTATACATAAATATTACAGTCTTGCATCCAGAAATATTAATACACTGATAATTAAAACAGAAGGTTTCCCTTGCATGTTTCCCAGTTTACACTACCGTGTCTTTTGTTTAACTTCATTGTTCATTACCTAAAAGACTGAGAAATATGCCCCAAAAATAGTTTAATATGACCCAAAAGAGGCAAAATATGACCTAATTTGTTATAAAAAGATATTAGCCTAAATTAAAAAACGTTTTGTATTTCAATCATGTTATTTATTTACATATCCTTGTACAACTATTACATTACATGATTTCCTAGCAATTTTAATCAAAAACCTCAGTTGCTTTAAGTTGTAAATGCCTCGTTTTGGATCAGCATCAGATGTTAAGATTTACGTGTACTTGTATTCAACATCATATAACATTTCTTCACTTGATCAAAACATAAAATAGTTTTCTATTCACTTAAGTGTATTAAAATGTATATTAGAAAATTACAGTCACTCACAATTATAATAATAAAATAATATTAAAAGGTTTAAAATATCATTTTAATACACTACTAGTTTCGGCTGTATTCAGCCATCGACGGGGTTTTGATATTGAAATAATGAAATCTTGTGTAATATAGTGAAGAAACTTCTGATGTTTGCTGATTAATTGCTTTGATGTTGTGATAGAAAAATGATTAATCCAGGTAACATATAGTTCTAATAGGTAAATTATAATATTCATCAGTTGGTATGAGCTGGCGAAACTTGTTACCGACTGATCAAGTTTACCGACGCCGACCTTAGTACAATGTACCCATCGACTGAAAGATGGTAGTACAATCGACGCAGAAAAGTGTATTTCTAGCAATTGCCTTGAATTGGACATCTGTAAAGGTTTGATTCGTGGACGTAGCCGACTATGCTCTTTCGACTTTTCGCATAGAGTACGAAGATGGTGGATGATGCGTTTGGAAATATGGGTTGTGTTTGTTGAAGTTACGTTATTGTGCAATTCTGAGATGGGGTGAATACGCGTAACAAACAAGAATACAGTGCTAATGTATTGGTGTATATGTTTTTACTGTAGTTACTGAACTCTATTGCTGTACTACGAAATGGCGACTGATAAAATAAAAGTTGCAGTTCGAGTCCGGCCTTTCAATAGAAGAGGTAGGCCTTGTCTAGACTGCATGGTTACAAAGTCTTGTATAAGTATTCCGGATTTTTTCAGAGACTTTGCATACGTGAAATTTTAAAGCGTGTCATAAATAAATCTTAGGTACACGCTCCGTCGTGACATTTACATGCAGCAAAGATTAATTTGTATTTGTTTACATACATAGCGAATTTGTTTTCATTCATGATTAGATTTTTGTCACCTAAAGTTTTCAAGTGATTAGAATCAACAACGAATGTTTTGATGTGGTGGTTTGTATTCTTGAGGTCCGGAATCGCGTCCCGAGGTTTGTACTTGATAGACCGCGGAACAACCACTACATTATTTTTTTTTAAAAAAAAAACCTTGTGAAAGCTTTGAGAGAAAGCAAGTGTAGTATCGAAAACATACTGAAGCCCACTGGTTGATATGACACCACATGACATTCTTTGCTCTCACAAAAATAACAGCAGCTGTTTATTTGAATTCTAGAATGAATAGATTTTGAGCTTGGAGGTTTTATAGCAGCAGTAGATTTGTATATAAAGACTAATTCCAAAGAGCGGAGTCATCTTGATAACCTAATCATGCAACGAGTTAAGAAATTTCTTTTTATATATATATATATATATTCCACACCTTTACACTCTTTTGACTCAAGATCATTTTAATGTTTCATGTCTATGTATGTCTAGGCCTCTCATATTGTTTGTTCCTCTCAAGTTTTGAAACCAAAGTGTAACTGTAACATTGTTTCAGTCCTGTGTTTAACTGTAGATTGCCTCCGAGCTATCTTCACCTTCATTATCTTATTTTTGGGGCAAAGTAGAAATCGCTCCTTTTTGATAGTATGGAAAATATCAGTTCTACCTTCACCATTACCTGGCAGACAAAAGCCAATGCACACAGAGACTACCTGTCACCTGATGACAAATAACCTCTTAGTTTATATATAATCATTAAGAAACCCAGTAATGAACAACCACTACTACAAGCTTACATTATTTGCATCATGAATTATTGATACCACATTATTAGGTCATTGAACTTAAGTGGTAGATCCCTTCTTCTTTTGCTTTGTCACCATTGTGGTAATTGAATACCCATTCACAAGTTGCTGGCTTTATTTACATGTGTGAAGTGTCTCATCGTTAAATGTATAGTGTTATCAAAGGCAGTATTATGATGTACAGTGCAGGGCATTTTAATAGTTGATATGCATACATTTGTTTTCAAATCTATCATGCTTTTTTTCTGGTTAGTCTGTTATATTACATGAATACAGTACAGTGTTCATTTTGTGGTTATTCTGTTGTAGTTGAAGAAGTTAAATTAGGATAAACTTTCTTTAGAAAGTATTATATGTGATACAGTTCCCCACTCTGATCACTCATGTGGAGTGACAGGTTAAGAATGGAGATGTAGACTAACTTCCATTTCCTCTATAGATCCTCGTGAGCTTAGGCACGTGAGAAAACTGTAACACCTATTTGTGAAGTCAGTAACTCATTCCAAACATTTTCAACTCACTTGAGGCATATCTCATACTTTTCTTAATCTTGGATATATTCATTGTAATTAAATCTGTTGCATTTGTTTCTTAGTTTATCTTATTCATAACATGTTTAAAGGTGAATCTTGATATTGGGTCACAAATACAATTACTTGTAAAACAGCTTGTAATTCCTAACATACTTTAAACTGATCTGGAATATAAATTTGATAATTTTCCTAATTTGAAAAGAAGCCTAGCCAGGGGTTCAGACCATCTGATTTGATTTCTGATCTGGCATAAGACCGGTACATTCTTACTCTGCTTTGTAGTACTAACGTAAGAATATAGCATCACAATGTATACCTGGTTGAAACCTGCTGATTTTGAAGTTTTAATTATTAAAGTGGATGTTGTCATTGGTCACTGACAATTTTTGCCCTTTTAACCTCATGACTGTTTAGTACAGTCGTCATTTCTGACCAAGTTATCTGGTGTTTGGTAACTTTCAGACTCTTGTTCATAAGGTACCCATTTTGATTCTCAACAGCATTGCCAAAAATGCTGACTGATATTTTTCATAATTTCCTCTATTCTTTCTTGGTAAAGTCCAAGATACCGCCACGGTGGTCTAGCGGTTAGAACGCTGGCCTTGTAATCCTGGGGGTCTCGGGTTCGATTCCCGGCGGTGCCCGAATTTATAACTTGTGTTGGGCAAGGCCGTGGTCTAGGCAACACGGAGTTTTCCTCCGTGGCATCCCAACAATTACTCCATTCACACACAGAAGAAGGCAATGGCAAACCACTTCTGGATCATCTGCCAAGAACGTATATGAACAGGTCCCAGTCCGAGAAGAGAAAAGGATGGAAGGATCCTGTTCATATGGACCTGTCGTCAGACAGAACACTACAAATCATATTTGGTCCATGGCAAGATATCACCTTGAAATATGTCACAGTAACTTACCTATTCACCATTATCATGTCCATATTTCATACAACCTTTAAAGTCAAAATAGCGGTGTTATAACCTAATTATTGATCACCTCTTTTCTACTCTTTGTTTGTTTGTGATCGTTACAAATGCTAGTCCAATTGAGTATATGTGCTATTGTAACACTGTATGTGTTACTCCATTAAAGTAATCTTGTTTTCTTTGTGTAGGTCTGTTAATATAATCACACAATGGAGTCCTTATTGGTTTAGTGCTGTCTCAGAATAGCTAAAAGCACACGTCTCTTTGACAGAACAAAACAAAAACTTGGCATTGTTCACAGCTTCTGTAACTGGGGTTATGAACCTGTGGCCCACCAATGTGTTTGGTGCATCCCACATACATCATTTGTAATATGTCACTGTGTATTATGCAAATTACCTGATATCAGAATTTTTTAATGTAATTAATATTTGGCAATAAATATTACTGTGAGTAGCTGTGTAGCTTACCAAAGAATGTCAGATAATGAACTAGAATATTTCTTACTGATAGACTCTTGTAGGGGTGCATGCGAATTGTAAGAACAGAATTTAAAACTTCTGTTGAAATATCACTCAGGTGAAAGTGTAAAATATCTCGCTAAATGACCACTTTTTGAAAGTAATGTACGTAATGCGTGAACCTGTTCAGAACTCAGCTGGGAGTTAAGCTATCCTGATTGATTTCTGTGGTTCCTGAAATAAGCCATGAACATTTTATTTCCATTTTGTTGCCATAAGTCATTTGATGTTAAACAAACACTTATATTGTTCACTGTCATGAAAAAATCTATTATAAGGTGGAAGAGGTTTATTAATTTTTATATGGCAGTCAAATTTGTTTTGGGTCAGCCCATGTGCTTTTTATTTAGCAGGTATCAGATTTTAATCTATTCGTTGAACTGGCTGTGTTGAATGACATTTTTCTTTATTTTCCTCAGCCTCTCTATTAATCTGCTGAGATAGTGTGTTAAAATAGGCCTTTCCAATTTGTAATTCACAGTCATTCTACCATTCAACATTATATAATATCTTCTTCTTTTGCTATGGCTCTCCGGTCCATATTTGGTCCATGGCCTCCTCAATTCACATCTTCCTTTTTACGGTGCAAGGTTGTTAGCCTTGCGACCAACTCCCAACCTGGAGGACCAGGGTACCTGTCTTAATCTGACCTCTCCCCCTCGACCAATCTGGCTAGGGAGGCCCTACCTAATATCTACAGTTGAAAATGTGTCATTATATAGCCAGTTAGTCAATAAGTTTACATTATTATTAGGCATAAAGTGGTTACCAGATAAGAGCTTTGTTAATTAAGAATTTCTGATCATCAAATTCTGTTATACATTTAACATTTGAATTGCTAGCAGGAAATTTGTGCTTGCGTGGGTGGCGTACCCTGTGAATTTCCTAGTCTTCACCGACTAACAAACTAATTCTGCACTTAATTGGTTTAATATGGGCTGATTTCATTTCAAATACTCAAACTTCTTTTTCCTTGGGTGTGTGGCTAATTGTACATATTTGGAATGTCACTGCTGAAGTCTGATTGGACTTTATTTTATTTCCCTTATAGAATTGGAACTTGGTACGCAATGTGTGGTCCAGATGGAAGCTCGACAGACGATATTACATCATTTGGAAAGGTAAGAATAATAACTTGCTTTACTGCTTCACTATCAAATAAGATTGGAAACATGTCCTTCAATTTGGAGTATCCACAGATTCTCAGTGCATCCTTTTTTATTATGAATCGCTCTACATTCTTGATATTTATTTACTGCAGTATCTGTTGGCAACAACAAATCTGTAGTAGGGATCGTCATACACAGGATCCTAAATTCTGTTATCGCAGCCGATACACAATGCGGATATTACATTGCACACAGAAACAGAATTTCATTAAATATGTAAATATGGTATGAGAATTAGTGTTTTAAATATAATTTATAAATCATGCTGAGAATTCCAGTGCATTTGCAAGAATTTAACATTTTGACAACGGCGCCAGTGACGTTAGAGTTACCCATCTTTCCTGCCTGCCTGGTTTTGTCATCATCACGAAGGATACCCCTGGAGATTCTCCAAAGTGGTTTTGTGGCTGCGTGGGGATTTCCCCACCTAGTCATTTCCACGTGTGGCCTACCACCTCTGCCTTCTGTACATTTGTAACCACAAAACCAAACTTAAGATAACCTTCATCGCATCATCGACAAGGAAGTTGCTGTATCGAGGATTTGACAATAATTGTTTTGACTGGGATGCGAATATTTGTGAATTATTACTTTCTTGTAAACACGACGTTTGAAAACACTGAGGCCCTTGGGCACAAAGTCTGAATGCCAACAACTTCTGCTATTTGCATATATATATGGAATTACGAAATACAGCTGTTATGAACATGTTACTTCACCACACACAGTATTGATTTTCAGTCCCTGAGCTCTGCACGGAATTCGTTAATGATAAATAGACACCTCATTGCGTAGGATGGAAGCTTTTTGACAGCACTGCTACTCCAACGAAATTCTTGCTGGGGATGTCTCACGATGGTTAATCAACCTGGGGAGTACGGTCCATGTCCAGTGTACGTAACGTCGTGACATGACCTAATAAAATGAAGTGCCCTCTTTTATCGACCAGGACTGAGCAAAATACTGTTATTATCATAATAGAACACGTTGATACAATGTTTAGAGTTAATTATATATTTAATTCTGTAAAGTCTGAGTCGTGTTCAAACACCTGGACAACACCATTAAGATTTAAGGACATTTATTATTATTATTATTATTAATAATCATAATGTCGATGCCATTTTTGATCTCTGCTGGTGTAACTGACTTTATAAGCACATTTTTTCCCACG